AAAAAATAAAATTTATACCAAAATACAATATGAATGTTCACAATTTATAATTAATAAATTCATACCAATGTGAACATTTACACTACAATGTGAAAACATAAAATAAAATTAAAAAAAGTGAAAATCGACTATTTTAATTAGTCAATGGTAACAAAAATAATTGTTCAACCAACAAACATAGTACAAAACAAAAAAACAAAATATAGCTAACTTTTGAAAAAAACTCATATCAAAACACAATGTGAATGTTCACAATTTACAATTAACATACAACTAACCTTAGAAAAACTAAATTCATATCAATGCGAACATTCACACTGCAACATGAAACAAAATTTAAAGAAAAAAATGACTATTCAATTGTTTAATGGTAACAAAAAATGATTGTTTAAACAATAAGTATATTAACAAATAACCAATGATATGTGAATATTCACATCTTACAAAATATATAATTATGTCCATATTTACATTCCAACACTTATTTCTCAGACTTTTAAATAATGTGAAATATGAACATTCACATTGATTGACAAAAAAATAGAAACAATGACAGCAATAAAATTAGAAATCCAAATAAAAACTCAATCACTCTAAAAACAAAAAAATATCAACCACTTCCTCATCTTCATCATCATCATCTTTATCATTATCACTATCATTAATAATCTATGCAATTTTATCATTCCACCAATCCAATTCAAACCAAACTCATCTTTGAAGAATATGTTTGTGGAAAAATGAACTAGACATAAATATAATTTTGACTTACAATAATGGAGAAACATAGGGTTTTGAACACAGAATAACAATAGACAAACACAGAACTTTGAACACAAAATGACAATGGAGGAACACAGTTTCACCTTAACAATGTAGGAACATAATATTATTTTCACCACCATGTGTAAATTAGAATTTTCAAGCCCTACTAAATAGAGAGTTTCAAACCCTAACACAATAAAATAATACCATAAATGTGAATGAAACTGATCAAAAAGAAAAACGTAAATAATGGTAACTACCAAAATAAAAGTAGTAATAAAAAAGAAATGTATATATCTTTTTTTTATGTAATAAATATCAACAATAAATATAAGGATATAATAGTCCAATAAACAATATAAATCAAGAAAAAAGACTTCCTAGAATAAAAGTATAAATATATAGGACTAATTTGATTATAATTTTTGAATTTATTGGATTAGAACACCTTCAAATAGAATTTATCAGTAAAAAAAACTCTAAAAACAAAATTAGTAAAAACAAAAAAAAAAAAAAACCGGAAAAAGAGGTTGCATCAACCGGTGAATGATTTTAGCATCAAGGTTGGAAGCAATATTTAAAAAAAACCCAACTCGGAAAAGAAATTAGGTAGACGAATTACTAATTTAACTGTTGAATTGAATCGGAATCGAACTATGACGTCATAAATATATTAAATTTATATTTTATTTATATTGAATTTATATTTAAATAAAAATAAAAGTAATAAAATTATAAATTAAAAAATTAAAAAATATTAAATTATCTTAAATATTTCTCCTAATATAATATATTTTAAAATATTATTAATTTTAATTTTGGAAGAGGAAACCAAATATTCAATATTCTCTCCGTATAATTTTAATTCAAATAATTTGATTGAAAGAAGAACAAAAATATTTGAAGGGATATCAAAATTTCAAGTCTCTCTCCATTAAATTTGATTGTATCCCACATGAATTTCATGAAATTTTTTGAAAGTTTTTTTTTATTTTTTATTAATAGATAGAGACTTTCACAACAATTTTGAACTCTCAATGAGATTTCTCACAAGAAGAGACTCTTGAAATAAATTTTCTAATCAAAATTTTCATATATATATAAAATAAGAAAGAAAGAATTTAAAAAAAAAAAAAAGGATATCTGGTCCATAAATAGGCATTTAAATACTTGTCTATGAGGACAAACATAGGTAAAATGATCAAAATACCCCACATATATATAGGGGCGGGGTTATGTGTAATTCAGTGGTGTCAATTGATCAGTGGTGTCAATTGACACCACTGAACTTTCAAATTTTGTTTAAATATATATGAAATTTTGTTTAATAGTTTTGGATTTTAACAAAATGACCCAGTGTTTGGAGCTATTTATTGTTTAGTGATGTCAATTTTAAAAATGACCCCAGTGAATCTAGATCAATATCACATATATCACATATATTTGGAGCTATTCATTGTTTAGTGGTGTCAATTTTAACTTAGTGTTCGTTCATTCATTTGCTCCATCAACACTTCATTCTCTAACAACCATTGTTGCATTGTCATTGATGCATTTCTTCATTTGTTCTCTCTCTCTCCTTCTGAATGACCCCACTGAGGGGAATTCCTAGCTACACCCCTACATATATATATATATATATACACACACAAGCCAAACCCTGCACTCACAAACCATATCTCTCTCTCTCTCTGCTCTTCGTTCTCGACTTTTCATCGATCGTCGTCGTCTACCTCTCACTAGCGCATTCGCCTTACCTGTCGCCCCATCCTCTGTCGTGGTTAGTCGTCACCTCTCTCTCTCTCTCTCCCCCCCTTCCTTCTCCGATCCTCATAGCAGCAGTGGAGATCGGAGTAGTGGAGTTTGCTACCAGAACTCTTCAAGTAAAGTTCGCATCACCGACATACATTGGTACATGACCCTCCTTGTCACGACCCAAACCCGGCCCTATGGGTTTAGCACCGTAACCGGCCAGTAATCCGAGATTACCGAAGGCCTGCAGAACAGTAATACAGTAAGACAGAGTACAGGGCCTGGCGGAAGCCAATACAGTAAATAAATAATCAGTCATTAATCAGTAACCAGTATGGGGGTTGTTACACTCCTCTGATACGGTGTCCTTATTTCCCACTTCCTTCCTTGACTTGCTCCGACCACCTCCAAGATGCTAGTTTCAACTCCGGCTTTTTCTTCTTAGTCAGATCGAGCTCTGGTAAGTACATCTTCCTTCACTTCCTCTCTTCACACACACAACATATATATCATATATATATATATATGAGATTTTATATTATTATTTTTATTTTTTCTTGATTCCATAAACTTGGAATAGTAGAGAGAGAGGGAAATATCATGTATTGTATATATTCAATGTAATCAATACAATAGGAAAAGCCTGTATATATAGGCCAAGAAACTTAGGTGTATAGGAGTACAAGAGTCATGAATATAATAGGAATAGAAAACAAGAGTCCTAAGTATATGTATAATAGATAACAGCTAACATAAGCAAAATGTAATTATATTTCATTAACATTTCACTTTTTTTTTCGTTTCTTTTCAAAATTCTCCTCATACTCATAAACCAAAAATAATCTAAGGGGGTCCTAATTGGAAAAAATTTTAATCAGTTGAAGTTAGTTAGTGGAGCTCTAGTCTAATTGGGCCAAACAATTACAAACAAAAGGGCAAAATTATCAGCCGGTCCTATTAGATAGAGTTATTATCCAATAAGTTATGAGTATAGATAGAGTTATTAGTAGTCTTGAAAATTTTTACTAGTGAAAATCGTTAGAAAAACAATAAGCTTATTGTGAAAATCAGTGTGAGTTGAGAATTCGGGGCCAACAAAGTTGGATTGTTATGAGGATAAAAACTAAAAACATGAGCCGATTAATTTAGAATAGGATTTGTTAGATATTAAGTCCAGTTCATAGGACTGGTCAGTAAGTCACCCCTACTAAAATGGCCCCAATGGGTCGATATATTAATCTTGTGTGCTAGTTGGTCCGATACATGTTTCTAACAAAATGTTTTTAAAAAAGAACACAGGGCCTGGTAAATGTTAGTTGGATTCAAAATCTCTAACGGCCCAAGTTATAGTTGGTTTAGGATTTTTGATTTGTTTATCATTCAGGTATCTTAAAAGGTAATTTAGAAAAAAAAAAATATAAGTATATTGAGAATAAATTGTAACTCTAAGCCTCCGTTTGGGAAGTGGGTTGGCTTTTTGGCTTTTTTGGCTATTTTAGCCTGGGCTAAAAAGTTTGGTTTGGGAAGGGCTTTTTGGCTTTTTGGCTTTTTTGACTTTTTTTGTGAGTGAAGAATGTAATGATTATGGGTTGGATGTGATATTTTATTTTTTGTGGCTAAAATAGCCTATTTTGTCTTTTGTGGCTAAAATAGCCAAAAAAGCCCCGTTTAGCTCTTGCCAAAATAACTTAATATATTGCATTGACAAATTAAATGTATTTAATGATTTTTAAATGTAAATTGAATCCCCCAAACCAATCCATCTGATAGCCCAGACCAAATAAAAATGGGCTATCCTTCAGTTGCTCTAATTTTTTTTTTTTTTTTTGTAAGAATAGAATACACTCACTTTCCTTGAGGTTTAAAAAATATACAATTAGTCCCATACTTTTGATATAATTATATTGGCATCCCTTATTTTGTAAATTTACTCAACTAAATAAGTCAACCTTAATCAACAGTGACAATTTTTTTTGGTCAAAAACCCTAATTGACATTGCTAATTAGACCAACTTGATACAAAATTTAAAATTAAGGATTAAATCGATTCAATTAAAAGTGTGAGAATTAAAATGATACAAGAGACAAAATATAATGACTACCAGTATAATTTACCTATATAACTATTTAAACAAAATAATGTATTACATATCATAAAAGATCGTGCTAAGCACAACTCACACGGCATTGTTTAAGTACTAAATAATGCTTCAAAAAATTGAATTCTAATACATATTTTATATTTTTTCATACACATTTAATATATTTGAATATAATATTTATTCTTATGGCTTTTTTTTCCCTTTTTTTTAGGCTATCCCCATCTTTCAAATTCAAATCAATCCCACACGGTTGCACATTGTGGAAAGTTTTTCTCCAATATTTAAATTAAATTTAAAATTCATAAATAAACTATTAAATCTAACTTGAAATTATTCACTTTGAATAATTACTTTTATATAATTTTTTAAATTTTTGTATACCTTGTCTCCTTGTCGAAGATCAATGTCCACTAATTCAACCGTCAAATGCTGCATTGTTATAATTTTTTGGAACTTTCAAACCCTCCATTTTTTTAATGTAAGTTGAAATTATTTAAATTAAAACAATGAGGCACGAGGATGATTTATTTAAATATTAAACCCCTGGACAGCCTGTCAAGCCTCCGTTTGGGTAGTGGGTTGAATTTTTAATTTTTTGACTTTTTTAGTTATTTTAGCTTGGGTTAAAAAGCTTGATTTGGAAAGAACTTTTTGACTTTTTAATTTTTTTGACTTTTTTTGTAAGAAAAGAGTGTAATGATTATGGGTTAGATGTAATGTTTTGTTTGTTGTGGCTAAAATAGCCTATTTTATTTTTTGTGGCTAAAATAGCCAAAAAAACCTAGAAACCTTCTTCCCAAACGGTGCCCAAATATGGTGAATAGTATGACAACAAAAAAATGTTATCTTCTTGTAAGAGTATTGAAAGTAGTGTTGTGACTGAATGTTGAACAAATATCAATAACCATTTATATTGATATCTTATTATTAACTCAAAAGAATAATGATTTTGAGTATTAATTTTGATATTTGAAGTACTAATGACATAGTGACGTTTTGAGAAGCAATAAAAAACGTCACGGTTTTTATCCATGTTCCAAAAAAGCTCCCGGCCCAAAACATCACTTTATTCATTTGGCAACTTTCCAAAACGCAACACTGGTGTTATTTGATGTAGCTGTTAAAACAGATTACAGATTATAGATTATAGCTTAACAGATTATAGATTATAACTTTAATCAGAAGTTGTTAATCTGTTTGGTATAGCTGTTGGATTGTAGATTTAAGTTACTGAATAATGTTTGTTAAATAAGCTGTGAAGTAGTTTTTTCAATTAACTTTTATTTTTTATTATTCACTGTTCGTCTACATTTCTCATAAAAAATAATAATAATATTTTATAGTCCATTTGAGTCTTTTCTATTTTTTTAAAAAAAATAAAAAATAAAAAAATTTAAGAGTACAACCGTAAATTAACATGTCCACAGCAGAAGCTGATAATCAGAAGCAAGGGGTGAGCAGCTTCTCAGAATCAGCTTTTTTGACTTAAAATAAGTTGTTAGAATCAGAAACTGTTTGAAATAAGTTTAATCAAACAGTCCAAAATAACTTTTTAAAAGCCAGAAGCCATAAGTTGGCTCAAAAAAGCCCCACCAAACACCCCCATTGAAATTACAGTTTGGGCCTATGAGACAAAATTGAAAAAGTAAAAAATAAATGTTAAGGAAGGATATTTTGGTCATTTTGGAGTGATGTGACACTTTTAAAAAATATTAAACCAAAAATCAAAAAAGTCATCTTTTTACCAACGTTCCAAATCACTTTCAAAAAAGTCAAAAAGTTGGATAAAAAGCCAAAAGTCAGCTTTTTACCAACTTCCCAAAACACTCCATAATAAGGAGAAGAAAAAAAAAAAAACAAACAAACGACCAAAATATCACATTACAATAAGTGGGATTCAAAGGCTCAAAAATTAGAGTTCAAAACATTTTTCAACTCAAAAACATTAAATTTCCAAATTTGGTCAATTCCCAGATTGAAAGTGCATCTCTATTTCTTTCTCTTTTTATTTTTATTTAAAAAAAAAATGAAACAAGACATTATTGAGAACTCAAATCTGCAGAGAACAATAATCTAAAAAGTTCTGGACAAGGAACAACTGGAATTGTAGAGGAGGAGGGAAGAGCTGAAAGCTAGTTTGGATGAAGTTAGGTCAAACTCAAGAAAATGATCCTCCATCTGGTACCCGCCTAACACGACTGAGGTTATTGGATGCGGCCCTCCATCCACAAATCCCAGGCAAGAAACATCTTTGTTAACTCTCACCATTGAGTTGGCACCATAAATCCTGCAATAAACGCCCTTTCGCACAACAAGATCAATACTTGCCACAGCTGGTCCGGTTATGGTGCTAGCCATAGTCTTTGAGCTAAAGCATGCTCCGAATGGTGCCACGGATGTCACCATTTTGATCTTTCTAAATAAGGCCTTTTTCACAAACTCACTAACAAGACATTTGTAGATACAAGTTTGAAAGATGGTATATGGGGTTATGGTGCTTAATTTGGTTCCACCAACTCCATTTCTATCGATGGATAGCAAGGACGTGTTGAAAGAGATGAGTTTAGTACCATCGACTCTGATAGATTTCACGCTAATGAAATATTCATCAGGTTGAGCAGCATTAACGATGAGTGGTGGTAAGCGACTTAGTGAAGTTTAGGGTAGAAGGATTCAAGTAATAGGGCGCACCCCCCCCTCCAATGTAAATGTTGGCATACAACCCAGTTGAAGATGGAAGACAAAAGGCAAACTTGTTAGGTAACTTGAAGGCCGAGGCAATCTGAATGGGCAAGGCGGTTTTTGTCCTTCCCAAGCCTACCATACCCTTAGTAGCTCTCGCTAGTCCTTTCAAGAGAAATGAGCTATTAGCACATGAGAAAGCAACATGAGACACATTATAAACATACAAATGACTCCATCTGTCTACGAAACCTACAATTGAGACATCCTCGAGAAGCACCTCGGCTGCAACCAAGTTCTTGACCGAGTTACGAGCCAAGACACCACACATCTTTTTTGGGGTGGTGGTGGTGGTGATGCATTGAGAGCCTTTGGTGGCTTTGCATTATGCAGAGCCGCAACGAATGGGGAGATATGATGTGGGGTCGAAGTCGTGACAGTTGAACCAGAGTAATTGGCCTCCGAGATCGATGACTACCTGTTAGTAATAAGAAGAAACACTGGAACCCAGTTGAATTTCGGTATAGTACTGGAGAGTTTGAACATCTTTAATGACGGTATAGACTAGGTTAGTTGGGTTAGGATCTCCTAGTTCGGAATGTGAAAGAAAAAAGAAGAGAACAAGGGAGGAGAAGAAGAGATAGAGGGAAGAAGCCTGTTAGTGTATATTAGTGCTTGTAATGATGTTAGTAGTGTATAGCTGTTAGTAGTGCATATTTCCTTTACTTTTATTTTACTTTATTAGTGCCACTTTCGGCCACTTTAGGCTCCCACTTTTGGCTCCTCTCCTATATAAACGAGCTCAATTGAACCTTTGTAATACATCTATCAATAACATCAATATATACACAATTTCTCTCTTTCTCTATACATTAATTCTTACATGGTATCAGAGCTAGGTTAACAACCTAGTCATTCTGCTTCACCGGCGGGCGGCAGTCTCGCCTTGGCCGCCCGCCGGACCTCTACACATATCTTCACTCCGCTGCCACAAATTCCATAACTGAACTGAACTCTTGTCTATCTGAGGAAATAATCAACACCTTCACACCAGTGAGGCCGTGGATATGGATTGCAGATCCGTCTATGTTGTAGCTTTATCTGCATTGTCGTCGCCGGCGTTGGAGGTCATTCTCCGGCCACACCTCCTGTGGTGTCCGCTCCGCCAGTTTCAGCTCCACCACCATCCACTCTCTCTCTCGGCTACATATACAGATACACACAGCACACGGGGGACACACGGACCAGACACACATGCACACACATAGACAACACACACAACACCCACCCAACTTCAACACTCACCATGCACACTGGTACACTCAAGAAACTCACACACAGGCACTGATCTCTCTCTCCACACACAGAACATCCACTCTCTCTCTCGGCTACATATACAGATACACACACACCACACGGGGGACACACGGACCAGACACACATGCACACACATAGACAACACACATAACACACACAACACCCACCCAACTTCAGCTCTCACTCGGTGTACATGGCAGAGAAGAGCAGCTGGACTAAATACCACCGGAATAGATTAACGGTTGGGTGTTCCTGGAATTGGGATTTTCGAGGACTGTTTTGAAGCATCGAGAGCCTCCGGCGGACTTCGGGGAGCTCTCGACGGAGCCAGAAAGCTCGCCGGAGTGGTTATTGGAAGCCTTGTTGGATCTATTACGCCCGGAGACCGAGATCGCCGAGTCGTCAAGGGCGATACAGGGGAACCCAGATCGAGTTCTCTGAAATCGGGTTTGTTGGTGGTGGTGGTGTCGTCGTCAAAGGTCATCGAGTCCCGGAATCGATCGGGAGTGTATTGAGCCCTAGTTTCGAAATGGGTTTCTGAGACTGCGACATTTTGGAGTTAAAAAATAATAATAATAATAATAAAAATAAATAAATAAATGAAGGATTGATTCACCCACTTCTTCTCTCAATGATTAAAATACTCTCTCTCACTTTACACCCACTCTCTCCATCCAACCTTCTTTTATTTTATTTTTTATTTTATTTATTTATTTTTATTTTTTTTAACTCTGTGATCCATCGTTCCATGATACACCATCCGCCAACTTTTGTCCCTCTCTTTTCCTTTCTTTTTATTTTAATATTGCCCATCCACTCTTCTTTTATTTAAACACAAAACCACTCTTATTTTTTTTATTCCATTCTCCCCACACACACAGCTCCCAACACACCCAGCCTCCTCTGATTTTTACTTTATTTTCTTTTATATATATCTATGTTTATATATTATCCTACCCCACCAGGCCTCAGAAACCACCTCTGATTTTTCTTTATCTTTTATTTTATTTCCTTCTCCACAAAAACCAAACCACCCGCAAAAAAAATACGGCAAAAAAAAAAAAAAAACACAAACAAACAGAAGCACTGCTCCACTTTTTCAATCCCTTTATTTCAACCTCAAATAGGTTTCTATCTTCACACTTATTTGAGTTTGAAGGGGGGTTATACATATATCATGGTGAGCATGGTTACACACCATGCGAACCACCAAAGCTAATGAGCATGGTTATATACCATGGGAACCACCCAAGCCACCCCATGGCGCACTCCCTAAGTCGCCCCCTTGGTGCACCACCACAATCTTTTACAACAGTCCAGCATGACCCCATAAACTGTCCCGACATTGATTCCGGTCAGCTTCTACAACGGTCCGGCATGACCCCATAAACTGTCCCGACATTGATTCCGGTTAGCATCTACCTTGGTCCGGCATGACCCCGTAAACTGTCCCGACATTAATTCCGGTTAGCTCCTACAACGGTTTGACACGACCATACAGTGTCTTCACCAACGGTTCGACACGACCATACAGTGTCTCCTATCCTATTTTATTTTACTTATCAGTTTACTTTCCTATTTTGTTACTCTCTCCAAACTCAAGTTGGTTCCTATCCTCCTTGAGTTTGAGGGGGGCTGTTAATATTATAACATAATACCTAAATATAGTGCAACTTTCGGCTAATATAATATGTAATACAGTGCATTGCTTTTGGATTGTTTTCGGCTCTTTTCATCATGAGCCATCATTGTCCATTGTCTGTAAGGATTGTAT